GACCCGTGGGATCCCGTCAAAGGGAGCTTATATTTATGAGACTTTCGGCAAACAAATGGATAAATCTAATATCTTCGAGGCGAAAAGGCGAAGCTTCTTGAGATACCCTAACCATTTTCTACCAGAATCTTATACTACTACTGAAAAAGGGATTTTACTTATTCTTTACGTTTACCTGTAACTTGGACTTCTTAGATACGTTTCTATGTATGTGTGTTCTTAAGCATCATTCTATCCTTTACTTCCTTTAATTTTTTTTTTACATTGGGTTGCTAAGATTAGGATATGTGTTTTTTTTTGGGTGAGGAGGAGGGTGGATCGTTTATGATCGATCAGAAGGGATTGGTTTATATTAGGTTCTCTCTTGTTAGAAATCTTAGATTACTGCTTGAATGATTGTAATTTGAGTTCAATAAAAAATGATTTATTTTCTTATGATTGAAAAGAAAATTAATTTGAAATTAATTATAAAAATGTTAGTAGAGTATATGTGATAATATGAGACGTCGAATTGAAAACTATGATCCTAGTAATTTCTAGTAAAGTAACTGGTACTTTAAGTATTAAATAACTAGAGGGAATAGTAAGGACAATTAAGACGCATCAGTGAACACGTGAATGAAGGGAACCTTCATCGGACAGTGTAGTGACAGTTGGTGTCATTAGGGTGACGTTCAGTTGCCATGCAACAGATCTATCGTTAGTTTTTTTTAAAACAATTTCATACACACACGTCATCACATGAACTGCATACAACACATGTATAGTATATATAATTACACGAATGAAATAGTAAGAGTGAGTGATCCCTATCGTTGCGTATCATCTCTGTGAGATCATCATCGGCAACCATCCGTCCGTTTGTCTGTCCATACATCTATCCATCCATCCATCCATCCATCCATCCTTTACGACGCGTCATTTCCGCTTAAATTTAGCAAATGCAGCTTGCAGTCCAAACTACTCTCTTTCTATCTAACATCTGTCCTCAATAAACTTTGCTACATCATTAGATTTATCTTTTTATTTATTTATTTATAGTTATTATTATTATTTTATTAATATTGGATATATTATGTTGTTTTTATTTATTAAACAATTTTATTTTAATGTGGACAATTTATGTTTTAATTTATATTAGCTTTTGATATTTAATTATGTTTTGTTACTGTATCAATTATCTTAGGGGTAGGTAATATTAATGTTGTATTATTTATAAAATATTTAATTATTAATTATTTTAATAAATATTGTTTAAATAATTTAATCGTTATATTTAAAATATGAACGTATGAATGTTAGGACGAGCTTGTTGGATTTGTGAGTTTATAGGAGAAATAAGAATTGATGATGATGATGATGACATTTACGACTATGAGTATAGTTACATACTCGTTCAAAAAGAAACAGAAAGAGAAAGAGAAAGAGAGAGAAAGAGAGAGAGAGAGAGAGAGAGAGAGAGAGGAAGATTAGCTATCGCAAGTCTTTCCAATCAACTCAAATAATAATGATGAGTTATAAATGGTACTAACAGCTCGAACTTCGAGCCAGACTGATTCCGAGTTTAGATAGGTCGGTATACACTCTCTCATCTTTTGATACCAACTTTGCCGCAAGATTCATCCAGATATGATAAATAATATATATATAAGGGGATCATTTTCTTCAACGATTTGTCTTAATATTCGTAAGTCGGGTCTAAACAACTTAATAATATTTGATTAATAGTATATTAATCAAATTGGGATAGAACAATTGACGAAATACTTGATAAGTTATTTGAGATATAAAAAAAAAATAGAAAAGAATAAAAGAATATTTGTGAATCAGAAATAGGAAATACTGTTTCAATGCCATTAAATAATCCCATAAAAGAAAGGACGGTCTGTTATAGTCGTAGGTTGGAGTCGGAATTGGTGGCTAAAGGAATGAAGATGATAGGTGAGAAGAGGTGAAGAGAATGTTAGGAGGACTGGGCGAAATTTGTCAGTATTAAATAAATAACCCATAAAGGTGGAACATCAATCCCACCGTAGAAAACATTAACGCCCGATATAAGAGGGGCGGCGAGGTACCATACTCTACTGCTGTTATTTTTCATACTACGGCAACGTTTTATATACGAGCAGAGCCTATACCACCATCTTACGATCTTTCTCTCGAAAGCAAAGAGAAATGAGAAAGAAAGAGAGAGAGAGAGTGAATGGGAGTAAGAAAGAAAGAATGAATGAGAGTGAGAAAGAAAGAATGAATAAGAGTGAGAGAGAGAGAGAGAGATAGGACTACTTCTTTCTTTTTATTTTATTCTTTATCCTCTTTCGTTCGTACCTTTCTCGAAGAAGAAGAAGAAGAAGAAAAGGTTTTTACGATCTACACGTTATACCGTATCGCAGACATACGTCGTAGATCAAATTGTGATGTGTCTATTATGACGTAAAATGCTTGAAGGTAATCTTGATAAAATAATAACGAAATGTTATAAATATAAACGTTTTTTTTTTTATATTTTTTAAATTTATATTGTTCTTTAATTTATTTGAAGAATAGAATTTTGTTGTATTATTTTTTATAATAGATTAAAATTATACAATATTTGTAATGAATACAATTATTTTATGGGTGTATAATAATATATATTACTTTTATTATTATTATTATTTTATTAATACGTATTATATTATTTAAATAATAATATGTATATTATATATATATATATATATTTATATTTATATTAATTAAAAATTATTATTGTAAATATAATATATTTTATTTTATAGTAGGTAATATATTAACTATAAAATATAACTATATAAATGACTATATAAATATACCTATGATAATAAAATAATATGTACTATAAAATAATACATATTATTTTGATTAATTATTATTAATATAAATATCCCAATTCTAAAAAGATTTTTATTACAAATTAATCACATCTTTAAAATTAATTTCTCAATTTCATACAAAAGTTCGTATCTTTCTAAATAATAAATAATTAATTAAATTAATTAAATTAAATAAATTACCAAATAACCAACCCCTTCTCCAAAAATAAGAAAAATGTCATTTAATAATTTTATCTTGAAAATGTTCTCGTCAAATTACCAGTACAAAAAAAAAAGATTAAGATTGATAACATTCAAAAGAAAAAGAAAAAAAGAGAAAAAAAACCCCACTAAAACAACCCCCCCCCCCCAAAAAAAAAATAAATAATTCCAGACGAAATATTTGAACGAATAAAAGTAAAGAATCTCCCACGGTAACTTACTATACGTACCAATGTTGAATCCAGAAAATTGTCGAGCAATTCTTGCTTAAAAGAGAATCTTGAAATATCTTCAAAGAAGATTCTCCGCTGCGGCAATTTATAAGCGTGTCGCTTGGCTCATTAAACTTAGCCAATCAAATCCGAAGCTAATAGCCACCCACACTTTTAACCAACATACATCCACTTGTACATTTATATCCACTTAAACATACTTAAACAGTATGTGTGTGTGTCTCTCACTCTCTTTCACTTTTACACAGAACAGTTTCGAATAAGACAGTGAGGGTGAATGGGGGAGGGGGTAGGGGAGGGGAGGGTATGTTATGTCCGTCTGTCCGTTATGTTTCCTCCGTTATGTTCTTCCTTGGTAATCTCAACATCGGAATCGTATCGTGTATGCTCAAACATAAGTCAACCACTGTACTTCTTAAGAGGACTGGCTAGAATTGGCGGTGCCTTTAAGTTCTACAATCGACTCCTTGTATCGACGAACTTTCTTCTTCTTCTTCTTCTTCTTCTTCTTCTTCTTCTTCTTCTTCTTCGTCGTCATCATCATCATCATCATCATCATCATCTTCTTCTTCTTCCTATCTCATATTCTCTGTCTTTCTCTTTCTGTCTTTCTTACTTACTTATAGTAATATTTTCTCTCTTTGCATAACCCTCATCCGTCTTTCTAGCAAGATTTCGCTTTTCGTTTATGCCGCTTTATATACCGCATGCGGTATAGTATATCGGCTCATCGCACGCAGTTATATCCTATCTCTTTCTTTTTACTTAAGTCGGTTATGCTTTTGAACATCGTTAAAGCTCACCGACTACTTACCCTTTAACTGTCTCTCTCTTTCTCTTTCTTTTTATTTTATACGTTTCTTTTTTTTTTTTTTGGTTTGTGTGTGTGTGTTTTTTTTTTTTGTTCTTTTTATTCTTGACCAATTTGGGTGGTCTTCACTGGACTTCATTTCAATTTATTTATTTCTATAAATGGTATTTTTTTAATTATTTATTTATTTTATGGAAAAAATTGGAAATAATAATTATTGCAGATGATTGAGAGAGAAACAATGTTTTGTTGTTTTATTTAGAATTATAAATTATTTAAGATTGATTTATTAGATTTATCTCAATTAATTTTTAAATATATTTAATATAAAATATATATTTTAAATTATATTAATATAATTTTTGTATATTAATAATAATATTTTTTGTTTATAATATTCTAGATAATTTAATGGTATATCAATTCTAAGTTATATTTGTAATTATAATACTTGCATTTAAATTTATTTAATAATCAATTAAAAATCTTATTGCATTTCTCACCACCATTTATATTTTATAAATTTGACAACATAAATAAAATAACGACAGTCATATATATCGATTATGTTTTATCTAATCAATTTCACATCAATCGTTTTGTGAAATCGGGCAGGGATTAATTTAATTCTAACCCAAATTCATAAAAATCATTTTTTTTACGGGAATAAAGTTAAAACAATTCGTATAAAAGTTAATAATTAAACGTTTGCAATTATAATAGTTTTTTTTTGTCTAAATAATAAATGTTGTTATATTATAATTAATGTTTGAAAAATATTTGATTGAATTGATTAAAAATATATGCGTAACGCCTTCACACGAATTTGAAGATTCATTGATAACGTTAGATTCTTTAACAATATTTCCATTACATTTGATCGGTTACGTTACAAGATTAATTATGATATCCGATGATAAACCAACATCACCTATAGCACGATCAACCGAATATATTTCAATCGAAGAATCCGAATTTGGTTCCATCGATTACGAGGATGATTCCATTTCCGAAAGTTTGCAAGATAATACGGTTCCAAGTTTTGAAGTATTTTTAAAAATAAAACCATCCACGAAAAAAGGTATTTCCATTTTTCACGATAACAGCAAATATTACGAAGTAATCGATTCGACAACCTTAATTACAAAATTCAATTCTAATGGTTGTAAAAAAAATTCTAAACTATCGAGATTAATTAAAAATAATAAATGTCACGAGGAATATGAAAATTGTGAAAGATTTGTATTCACAAAAATATTTCAATCTGATACAAGTCAAGCAGAATTTTTTGATACAATTATGAAACAACGTATTAATGATTTTTTAAATGGACATAATTCAACGATCATGAGTTTTGGTACAACGAATTCTGGTAAAACGTATACACTTCATGGTACACCAGAACAACCTGGTTTGATACCACGTAGCATTGAATATATTTTTTCATCAATAAATTGCACCCTAGTACCATGGTACAAATTAAATGCAAATAAAACATTGATAAGTTTAGATGATAAAGAAAGATTGGAGGAATCTGAAAAAAAAGTCAAACTATTGAGATCACCGATAATAAATGTTGACAAATTTACGGATGCTAGAAAATCGTTGGAAAATTCAGAACAATCGATTAAACATGAAGACGATGAATTAAAAAGCGAATCAATGTATGCAGTTTGGTTATCGTTTGCTGAAATTTATAACGAAAACATTTACGATCTTTTAGATTTTGAGGAACCAGTTAAAAGTCGACCATTGAAATTAATCGGTGATAAGAATGGTCAAGCTTACGTTCATGGATTGACGACAATTTACGTGACAACACCTTTCGAAGCTTGTCAAATTCTCATTGCTGGACAATCACGAATGAGTTCGTCATTTACTAATTTAAATCCTAGAAGTTCAAGGTCTCATACGATATTTACGATAGGTTTGTTAAAGTATCAAAAAGCTTACGCACCCCACGAAACTGAGGCAAGTACTCTGACATTTTGTGACTTGGCTGGTTCTGGACGTTCCAAGGGTTTGGGTGAAAATATCGAAAGATTGCAAGAAGCTAAAAATATTAATAAAAGTTTATTGGTATTGGGTAGATGTTTAAAGTGTGTAGAAAAAATGCAATCAATGAAACAAATTAATGAAAATGTTGCTGGACCATTTCGTGAATCTAAGTTGACGAGAATTTTTCAAAAAACTTTGTCTGGAAATGAACGTTCAACTTTTATCATTAACATTGATTTTTCGTCGGAATTAATTAATGAAATTAAAAGTATTTTAAATATATCTACGTTAGCAAGAAAAATATCGTTTCATTTAAAGAGATCAGAAAAATTGAAAGATTTTAATGTTCATACTACGAGAACCAATGAAACTAACGAAATACGTCATGAATTAAAATCATTGAATGATACTAAAACGATTCATAGTTTGGAACAAAATTCTACAATTCGTGATGAAAGTTTTAATACTAATTTGAACATTGATGATCGAATTGACAGTAATGACAGTATTCATGACTTTACGAATGACAAAAAATGTGCAATTAATGATCTAACCTATAGAGAAAATGATAGCATGATTTATAATAATTTAAAATGTGAAATTATTACAGAAAAATCTAAGACAAATGATTTGAACGAATTCAATCAATTTTTTGATCAAACCAAATCTGATATTTCAAATTTAAATGTTACAAATGACGAATGTTTAAATAAATTCAAATATAATTTAGATGATAAAAAGATAAACGAGATTGAAATATTAAATTCAGATGAAATCAATGAATTGAAGAAACAATTATCAGAAAAAACGATGAACGTTGAGATATTACAATTGCAATTGAAATCCTGTGAAAGGACATTAAATGACAGGGATAATGCTTGGAAGGATGCTGAGAATAAAAATTTAAATTTGTTAAAAAAAATTGAATCCTTAGAAAATGTTATCAAAGTAATGGAGTGTGATAGGAAAAATTTGACAAAACCTAAATCACCGTTTTACTTAGAAGAAGTTTCATCGTCACCCTTGGATGATAAAATTAATTGTCAAATTGATAAGAATCATCTAAGATTGTCATCTATTATGGAAAATTCATTTTTTTGTGACGATTCGAACGAACCACAGGAATTTGTAGTTCAAGCACACGTTGATATTAAAAAAAATAAATTCAAGAATATTGGTAAAAAAGGTTTTATTGGAAAGGATTGTTCCAACGTTATGGAAATGGATACTAAAAATATTTTGGAAATTTCTGGTAATGATTTACGTCAGAGTAATGCAAGTAGTAAAAATGATTCTGGTATAATGATCGATGAATCTTTCGATAATAAAAATTGTTATTCAAGTATTAATTCGGACAAAAGTATTTGCGATAAAAAGGAATTAAATGAAATTGAAAAATTTATCAACGCACATTTGTCAAAGGAAATTCAATTTGAAGAAAATGATAACGAATTGAAAGAAAATTTCCAATTGAACGATGACAATGAATTTGTTCGAATGAAATGTTATGAATTTTTAACATGTAAATGTCAATGTTTGGAAGATTTATTGAAATGGATAAAGAAAAAACGTGATTTACAAAAAGAATATTGCAAAACGGAACATTTATTGAAATTAGATGAATTGAGGAAAGAATTGTCATTGAAAACGCAAGAAATTGATCAAGCTAATGAACAAATTTCACTAGCTAATCGTGATTTAAACAAATTGCAAGATTTAATGAAAAGATTGAACGATTTGATGATCGTCACTGCAGATTTTCAAAAAAACAACAACGATCTTTACGACGAGTTGAGAAAACGTAAAGAAATTCAATTGAGTTTAGAAACAAAATTGAAATATTTGGTAACATTGATGGAAGCTAAGGAAGATGAGATAAAACATATGAAAGATAATATTACGATGATTTTTCAAGATAATACTGGTAACAATGACAAATCTAAAGATTTGGGTCTTCGTATAATCGAAATAAAAGAGAGATTGAATTCCATTAAGGAAGAATTGATTGATTCGGAAAGAAAACGTATAGAAATCGATAAAAAATCGAATGAACAAATAGATGAATTGAAAAATCAATTAGCAATTTATAAAAACGATTCAATTTTATTAACACGAACGGTGGAAGACTTGAATGAGAAGAATGAAGAATTGATTGAAATGAGAAGTCAATTAAATCGTAAAGAAGATGAAATGAATTGGTTTAAAACTAACAGAGATTCGACGATCAAGAGATACGAATATTTGGTTAAACAATTGCAAGATGAGATAGAAAAATTCAAAGAACAGTCGCGTCTTGAAACGTCAGAATTAAAAGAAATCAATCGCAACAGTTCAGTCGTTCGTACATCAAACAAATTCAAAGTATCTGAATCATTGAAAAAATTAACTCGAGTTGGTCGAAATTCTGACGGTAGTTGGAGGAAACCTAATTATTTGAGAAAAAAATCGATCGATGATAAATCCCTAGGATCGACTAGTAATTTTTCTGTTAAACGAGCTACAAGTTCGAACGAAACTATTGTAGAATCAATGAAGGAAAATAATCCGCAATTAAAACGTTACAATGAATCGATTTGTCAATTACCAATTGATGAAGATCAAATGTTAACCAGTCAAGTACGTAATGATTTAATATTTTTCTTTTAACAATTAACCCTTTGATTGCTATGAACGCAAATATGCGTTTTGTTAAAGTTTCATACACGTGTTTGTCAATATTAATGTAAAATAGTGTGAAATGTTAGTTTGTTTATTTAGTTTTGTCAAACGAATATTAATTAAATAAGCCACAAAAATTTTAATGATTTATCTTTTAGGGTTTGGATAATAATATCAATCAAAGGGTTCATTAGAAATATTATTTAATATATTTTTGTATAACTAATACCAACGTTTCAGACAGAAAGCGACGTAGATTCGTACGAGTCGTATGATTCCCGTGTTGATACCACAACTGAAAGTTCGACGAAAACGAACTATTACGATTCCGAGGATTCTGATGAGAATTCATTTAGGATCAAAAGAAACAGAATGACTGGATGGATGAGAATAAGAAGAATCGATGGTAGAACTGTGTTACCTTCTTGCTCAGAGTTTCATTTGGAGGATAGTGATATATCCGATTCATAATTTTTCATTAGGAAACTGGATTACAATCCGAATGATTTATCCAATTTTCTTTATTGTTTTCTTTTCTTCATTTAGAAAAAAATAATCGTTTAGTTTCAATGTGTTTTTTGTTTATTTTTTTTTTTATGAAAGGAAACCGTTCAGTTGGATTTAGTTAACTAAAGTAATTACTATTTTTAAAATATTTCAATTAAATATGTTATGTATTAATAATTTAAAGATTTAAATTAGAAAATATTTAGAAACAATAACAGATTTCAATAATATTCATAAATATCTTATAATGGTAGTCCAATTTATATTAAATCATAAAAATAATGAGAAAAAAACCCTAATTATCGTTGAACACGAACAAATGTTAATTTAATCAACACAAAATAATCGAATTTATCTATTAGTTATCTGAAAGATTTTCTATCATTTTTAAAATATAATTATTTATTCCCTACATATTGTTATTAACTTAATTTCACGTATAAGGAGTTGGGGTATCGCGAGAGAAAAGAAGGTGATTATCGATCGGTGATATCAGCGTAATATCAGACATTCTCATGGGACAAGATTACCGGTAATGGCAAAACGTGGTTCCTACGTTCGTTACAATAAGCTAGCAATCCCCTCCCCTGAAACCCCCAATCCTCCTACCAATCGTGACCCCCCTAATATCCCCCTTTTTTTGCTCTTGGTGGTGGTGATGGTGGTCACCCCCAACGGACAGTAGAAAAGCATGCTTAACCGGCGCTGGCTATTGGGGCAAACCCTGCTTGGGATTTTATTGCCAATATGCTATAATTTTCGACATTAGACGCCGCTGACGCTTTTCTGGGTCCTCTCATTATATCTTATACTTTTACTCGTGTACATGTCTCCTCTGTGAACGTGTGTTTGAATCAAAATGTGTAAGTTGGATGGGTAGTTGTACGTGTGTGTGTGTGTTTGTGTATTTTCATGTAGAAAATCTTCTTCTCGGGATAGTTTCTACCAGGGTGTTTTTATATATCCGTTTGCGGATACTGATAGATGAAATTATGAGTTTAGGGGTGTGCCCATCGAAATTGGATTGCTTTTATACGTCTGGGTATGTTTCCTTTTTTTTTCTCTATCTCTCTCTCTCTCTCTCTCTCTCTCTCTCAGCTTCCAACCCCTCACCTCTACTTTTTGCCTCTTATTCTTTCATCTTTTGATTAATATTTTTTTTTTTCAGGATTCTTATCTATTTATTTGGAATTTGTTCAACAAGCAAGCATCAAGTTAATTTTGTTTTAAGATAATACTGTTTATATAGGAATTTCGTACATTTTCTAGGATATGTTGGTAGAGAAAACTTAGCCATTTTCGTTTCTACCAAGACTTTTTCGACGTCCAGGTGATTTTTCCAGGTAAACGTACCGCGAACCTTACTCCTTTTAATTGGCAATAAGATTTGATCGTTGAGGAAAATAACATCCAATTTTCTTTCTTTCTAGTCAAAAACGAAAAGTCTAATGTTATTTGAAAATCATTCTACTTTGATAATCTTTGTTAAACTTATTTTAAACATTTTTGCAAAAAAAAAAAAAAAACAAAAACAAAAGTAGAGTACTATAGAAATATTCATTCCTGTTTGATTTGAAGTTCACTCATGATAACCCAAAAGAAGGTTATTGAACTTGTAATAAGAAAATGTTCATAAAATGTTAGAAGATATAATAAAGTAGAAAATGTATGAGCAAGGTTCGAAGATCATAGAAACGGGGGATGGTTTAAGTATAATAATCGAGAAAGGTAAGGGGGTAGAAAGTCATTTAGAGTTACAAGTTTCCTCGAGACATTAGTTTATAATTCGGCAATCCCGGATCAGTATTTGTCACGATTAGCCGAACCCCCTTGTCGCTTCTTCATCCCAATGCACACCGTCTGGAATATCCGGTTTCCACTTTCAAATTTCATCCCTTTTCTCTAGATCCCCTAACTCCCACCCTCCCCCACTTCTTCCTTTCCTCAAACCGTTCCTTCAGTTTCGCGAAATTCTCGCGTTCATAAGTTTTCATTAATTTAACCGATCTTAGTTTTAAGTATCGTCATAGTTATCAACTGTTTCGGTAAGACAATGTTCAAATAGATTGACATATGTTTAATAAAACTGACAAAGTGAAGAGAATTTGGAATAAGAAAGGTGTATGGGGTAGATTTGTAAGTATGTGTGTGTGTGTGTGTGTGTGTGAAGAAGTTTGTGTATTGGTTAAAACATTCACGGTTTTAGGTAAGAACTCGTTCCAGTTCAAAGGTCGACCTACCATGAATTATATTTCTCGTGTCATTTACTTTTAGAGTTAAAACCACCACTGGTTTCTGACTTTCCAACTAACGAAAGTTTGCCTTTTACGAAATCGGAATCAAGTAGTTTATTACTGTAAAATAGATATTCATTCATTTAATTAATCCTGTAGAAATGTATTATTTATCAGTAATCTTTAATATTGTTTTTTTTTTTTATTTCTATAGTACTGTACAATTTATTGATAATATTTTGTAATATATAATTATAGAAAAAGAAAATAAATTAAACAATTTACCATTAGAAAATCTTTTTAAAATGTCGTAAGAATTAAAGAGAAAGATAGTAAATATAATTCACATTGTCGAATTACGAAAGAGAGACAAAGATAGAGAACATAAAGCAGAGTCAGAAAGTGGGGGAAGCAGAAGTAATGGTGGGAGAAGAAGTAGCAATGGTGGGGAGACAGAGAGTAGGTTGGGAAGTAGGATTGGTGAATGGTATAGGATGGTGGAAGGAGGTTCGCGAGGATCGTAGGATGCGAAGCGAGCGGTGAACAATAAGCAATAATAGGTAATGCAATTCAAACGTTGAGGCTGGCAATACTCCGAACTCGACGGGGTGGTTATAATGCTGGGAAATGCCTGCCTTGCATTTCCCGCGAAACGGGAGCGGAGAACGGAGACAATCGTACAATACGGGACGTTCAGGTAGTCTATTGCATATTTGCCTTTACGCAATTCTACTGGCTGCGCGAGCGCACTCGGGCAAGCACGATATTACGCAATTCCGATTTATCCAGTGCCACGTGGAAAGGTAATCGTGGATAGCTACCTACGCGGGTTGTATTTAATCTCAACGATTTGTTCTGTTACTATATACATTCAACCAGAAATTCATACTAACGTATTCTCTCCAAACCCTCTCCTAAGTTTCTCCCTTTATCTATACGAAACCAATGTTGTTTCATTCCTATTATTACTCGTTTATTATATCATTTGTATCGCAATTATGTTAGTATTTTTAATTATTATTTTTAATAATACTTTTAGAACTAGTCGTGTGAACATTTGCGTATCCTTATATTGAATTAATTTATTAACAATAACTAAACTTTAATATCGCTAATTTAGAGAAGAAATCTAGGTACAAAATTTGATATCGACTAAACGGGTTTACACACACAAACCCTAGGAAAGAAAAGATATAACGAAACACATAGAAATCCTGTTCAACACTAAGAAACATTCGAAGTCTAGGGTAACCAGTAGAACGGCAAGTATATTTTGGATGTTTCGGTAGGACATAGGGGAAAGGAAAGAGAGAATCTTGTCTTCGTGTGTAGTAGGCGGAATCGAGAAGATGAAATCGTTTGTTCTAATATCACGGGAGCTCCCTGCGCTTACTTGGCCCTGAAGCCCCGAAGATGGAACTTTGCTAGCTGGAAATTGTCCCGGTGACGTTGCAAATGGGTCAGACGATTCTAACCTGGTCTGCTTGTTGTATCTACGCTATCCTTGAACACCACACATGTTTTCAACATTGGCAGACGTTCCCTGTTGCTCGTAGTAGTTGTAGAAGTGGAAGGGAGGGTTACTTCTAGGCTGACTTTTCTCTTTCAGAGATCTCCGGGGAGTCATTCGTAAGGTTCCGTTCGATGTTCTCTAAAAAGAAAGACCCTTTAACGCAATCGATCCAACTTCTACGAAGAATCATTTTTTAATTCAATCTTCAATTGTTTAAAGATAAATAATATGTGATGTTCAGTTTGGTATACCTGGAGATTATTCCGGATCAATATTCTGGAACTGCATACCCAAATTTAACACAGTAAACATCACCAAATGCAAACTACTTCTTGTACTTAAACTTGTTATAGGAATTTTTTAATTGGATGGTAGTTACCTACAAGATAATCCTTAAGAATTGAAGAAGGAATCTTTAGATAGAAATAAAAAAAAAGGATTAAAAGGATGAGTTAATGAGAGACATTCTCCCTAAGTATTCCAATGCCAGAGGCTACTTATTTCGCATATCAGGACTGGAGAGTTTCCGGTGGTGGTACATAACATTCCTATAGAGAATGGTGTGAGGTTTTGAGGTTAGGGTAGGGATTGTATAGGATGCGAGTAGCCCAGCCAACACCTCAAGGCAAAACGAGAGCATATAAAAACGTGAAATATCAGGGGCATTTTCTTATCGCTGAGAGTCCGTTGGCATATGTAAAAAGGAATAAAATCTAAGCGGTAAGTTGCGCTTGGGGGATCCCCAGGTGGTGGTGGTTTGTTCCGCAGTTACTCGCCTTCGGGCCACTACGGTTGAATCAGATTCGTACGTTCCTGGCATGTAAGAGGTCCGCGAGAACAAATAAATCCTTGCTACGAGAATATCATTTGTTCCCTTTTCTCTCTATTATCGTCCTATTTATTACACCACTTCGTCTTTTCTTGATTTCTGCTAAGATTAGGTTGGTATTTTAAAAAACATTCGAACCCATTTGAAATTGATCAACTGTTCATTGAACTGAACCTAAATAATAATACTTCTGATAATCCAATCATGTTTTACAGATAAATATTAGTTGAACATTTGTGCTTACACACAAATATAGATTATAAATGAATTAAAAAAAAAAAAAACATATTTCCAAATATAGTTTTTGGGATTATTGCTAACGCGTGCCCTGAACATATATTCGATCCCGCGTAACAAGACGGCACACGGTCGAAGCTTTTGAGTGGCT